CGCCGCCGGGGGCCACGACCTCGACCTCGATGCGGCAGCCCGACCTCGATGCGGCAGCCCGACCTCGATGCGGCAGCCCGACCTCGACCTCGATGCGGCAGCCCGACCTCGATGCCGGGGGCCGCCTCGCGCGGCAGCCCGACCTCGATGCGCGGCAGGCTGAGCCGCTTCACCTCTGGCTGCCCGTCGGGGGCGCCGCGCCGCAGTCGACGGCCCCCGCCCCGCGCGGGCAGCCAATCGCCCTGCCAACTCCAGCACCGCGATTGCCAAACAAACCAAAGAATGTGATCAGCATCTGAAACGCAACGGCCAGATGGCCGCCCCCGTCGATGCGCGCCCCGTGAACGAGCGCGCACATTTGGGGTCTCCGCGGCGCGCGCATCCAACAATAACCAATCGCCATCGGTTCCCAGCAGCAGGCCGTTGGACGCTGTCTCGTCCATGCGGGCCTCAGCCTCAGGCCTCCGGCCCGAACGCCGACGCGCCGTCTGGCCCAGCCTCCAGGTAAGGATGAGCGCGAAGATCCGCGACCAGCTCGGCGCGGCGGTTGCCGCCGGCGGCGTTGTCCTCTCATGCGGCGCAAGCCTGACAGGGAAGTCTGCAGCGGGGCGCGCGGTCGCTGCTCGCCCCCGCGGCGGGCTTGCCTGGGGGGCCCGAGGCCTCGCCCGCGGCGCCTCGGGCCCCTGCCGCTTCGGCGGCCAAAACGACAGGGGAGGGGGGGGGGTGGCCGCTCAGGCGTCGCACCGCTGGCTGGCACAGTCGAGCGACGCGCCCCACGGGGCACTCCGCTGCACGAAGAACGCGCGCTCTCGGCGGCCAGGTCCGCGCAGACCGCCTCGATGCAATCGGGGGGCATGTGAGCTTCGCAACGGGCAGCCGGGCAACTTCATTGAGAATGGGGGCCGGAAATAAGCTGGCAACGGCAGCGCGTCCTGCGCCGACCTCGCCCCGATCTCAGGTGGCGCCCTGAGAACTCTCCACGGCGGCCGGAGTGCTCCATGACGGCCAGCAATAAAGCGAAAACTGCCAAAGACATCGCGGGCGTCGTCACAGGGGGAACGCTGTCCCTTCACTGAGCTAGGCTGCCCCACTCGAGGTAGCCACCGCAGCTCCGCGCGTCGGGCGGGCCCCTTCAGACTCGGCGCCGGCCCGATCACTCGGGGCCGCTGCTCTTCGCCGCGAGCGCTCGCGCTCATCTCCTCCACTTCTTCTGTCGGGCCTCCCCCGTGCGCCCGGGGCGGCCGAGCCCCGGCAGGCGCGAGAGGACCGGAGCGGGCGCTGTCGGCCGAGGCGTCTCGAGAGCCCCCAGCCACTGCAGGAGGGCCAGGCGCTGCGCTGCCCCTGGCGAGGCGCGGCCCGCGGGGGGGAGGGCGCGCGCCCCGCTCTCTCCGCCTCCCAGCCATCCCAGGCCCAGAGCGCGAGCGGCCGAACACCGCTTTCACACTCGCCTCCCCCGCCGCCACGGCAATCGCAAACTCCTCGTCCCTGGCGCTCAAGGGGGGCCCCTCCGAATCCACCGGCGACATTTCAAACCATCGGGGCGCCAAGGGGGTTCCATCCTTCAACTCCTTGCGCGCGGACTTCACTCCGTGAGCCAACGCGTCGCAAGCATCCAAAGCCTTGCCGCGCAGCACACAGTCGAGTGCCGCTGCCAGGGCTCTCATCTCGCGGAAGCGGCATTCACCCAGCGCAGAGACAATTCCGCCCTTCGTGAAGAGTCGCTGCAAAACCTTTAGGGGCACAGCCCCAGTCTCACCAGTAACGGTAAACGCCGAGTCCTCCCCGTCGAAGTGCTTGACCACGTAGGGGCACTCGTGCTCGACGATGCGCCCCGGGCGGGGCTGGGCCAACCTCCGCAGCGCCGTGCGCCTTGAGGACCGCGTCTTGGAGGCCGCCCCCTGCGCCCCGCTCCGCCTCGTCGCTGGAGCCGCCTGTAGAGGGTCACCCCCTGCCCCCTGGCGCCCTCCGGAGGGCCCTGGCCATGCAGCCGAGCACCTCTTCGTCGTCCACCTGGCGGGGGGGCCGTCCGCGACCGACCTCCACCTGCGCCCCCGCCGCCTCCGCGCCCGCCGCCGTCGCCTCCCGCTCCTCCAGGCGGCCCCGCAGGGGCCCCCCGCCGCCAGCCCTGGGCGGGCACCCCGCAGCCAGGACCAGCTGCCGCCGCGTCTCCGCGCTGCCCGCGAGGGGCGCTTCGACAGAGGGCGCGCCCGCCCGGCCCGCATCCGCGTCGCCTGCCAGCCGACGCCGCCGGGGCTGCAAGGACGGGGCGCCACGGTCCCTCGGCGGCACTGGCGGTGGCCCCTGGCGCTTCCTCCCCAGAGACGGCGTGCCCGCTGCTCTCCGGCGCCTCGTGGCCCACCTCCACCCGCCCGCAGGGGGCGCCATCCCCCTCTCCGCCGGCAGCCCCTCGGCGGCGAAAGAGCTAGCGATCCCGCGCGCCCATCAGCAGCTCCGTCACCGAGACCATCGGCAGGGGCCAAAAACCAGCGCCTCGTGCACGTCGGCGCTCTGGGTCCCATCGCGCATGCAGGAAACGCGCGCGCTCCAGCGACAAGCTCCTGGACAGGCTCATGTGTACGGTCATCTCCACCCCGCACGCACAAACAGACGTTTCACCAGCCCAAAAATCATGGCAAAAATCCGCCACCAATAGCAAGGGTTGGAAGCGCCCAGCACCTTCAGCAGGATATCCGCCCCCTCGATCTCACCAGCTATGACCCCCGCTGCCTCCCCAAGAGTATGGCCCTAGGCCTCGAAGTTCCACTCGTGGGCGGCGTACAGTCGGGGCCCTGAAGAAGGAACCCTTTTCGTTGGGGAGGGGCTCCGTATGCCTTAATTGTTTCGCAGCTTGCCTCAGGGTTTCCTTATGTTTTCGATGGGGAAAAAGGGGCTTCGTTCCTTATTTTAGGTTCCTTAGGTCAAGGCCCCGACTGTATGCCAGAAGCTCCCTGGCGGCTGGCCACTGCCCCTCGGGCAAACAACCGATGTCCGCCGCCACCGGCCAGCCTGAGGCCAAAGTGGCTGCTCCATCCGCCATCGGCCTCACTCCCGGGGGCTTTGTCAGTACCCGCCCCTGTCCCCGTCACGCACCCCGCGAAGCTCGGGGATACCGAGCCTCGCCGGACAGGGAAGTGCGCCTGGCGCCAAACCCTGCCGAGGAGATGGCAGAGCTGAAAGAGGAGGACGATCTTCTATCCGGGGGATGGCACGGCTCCCAGCACGTATGCCTCGGGGCCACCTGGGGGGCAACGAGCGCGGTGGTGGTTTACGCCTTCCTGCCGGTGGCAGGTGGCCGCGCTCACCCCAAAGACGGACTAGGCGGCTCCACGAGCACGCCCGTCGCCTGGCCGAGCCACGCTCAGCACCGCATCGCTCCAGAAACGGAAACGGGCGCGGCGGTATCGGGTGCTGTGATGGAGTTCAACAGCCGGGCGGGGCTGGCTGGCATCCCAGTCGCCGCCTGCGGTTCCCCCGATCCAGAGCGAGCTGCGACGCATGGCGCATGCGAGAGCCCTCCGAGGTACATTCAACAGGGAAGGGGTGCCCTGCCCCATCCTTTTGCACATGTTCGTTAAGAATGAAACTTCCACAACAACAACAACAACAACAACAACAACAACAACAACAACAACAACAACAACAACAACAACAACACCAACAACAACCACAACAACAACAACAACAACAACAACAACAACAACAACCATTTTAAGGCTGTGCGCTCTTACTTGCCCGCGAGTCATTCAACACGTATACCCTACACCCTCGATGCCCGCCCTCTTCGTCTTCGATCACACCCCTTTCGGGGGGATTATTTCTCTTTGCTGGGGCCGGCGGGCTTAGACGTACGGGCAAACCGGAACGGGCGGACAATCCTTCGGGGGCGTACATCTCTCTGCCCGCCATTGGAATTGGCGCGGGCCCTGCAAGAGGAGGAGGGGAAGAACGAGGGAGAGTGGGAGGAAGGGGAGGGGGAAGGACGAAGGAAGAGGGAAGATACCACGTTGTGAAGGCGTCCTTGGCGCGTGCGTGGTTCCTGAGCGCCGAAACGCAATTCCAGAATAATTTGTGAGGACGTCGCACGCGAGAGCGCAGTCCTGAGTACATTGTGAGGAAATCTCAAGCGGAAGCGGGGGCCCTGACTAAGTTGCGAGGAAGTCTCAAGCGGGAGCGCCGTTCCTGAGCAAATTGCACGGAAGTCTCAGGCGGGAGCGGGGGTCCTCACTAAATTGCGAGGAAGTCTCAGGCGGGAGCGCCGTTCCTGAGTCAATTGCGCGGAAATGTCAGGCAGGAGCGGGGGTCCTGAGTAAAATTCGAAGAAGTCTCAGGCGGGAGCGCCGTTCCCACGTAAATTGCACGGAAGTCTCAGGCGGGAGCGGGGGTCTTGATTACATTGCGAGGAAGTCTCAGACGGGAGCGCCTTTCCTGAGTAAATTGCGCGGAAGTCTCAGGCGGGAGCGGGGGTCCTGAGTAAAAATCGATGAAGTCTCAGGCGGGAGCCGTTGTTGTTGTAGCCCGGGGGGCAGGGGCACAGTTTGAGCAGGAAGACTTTCCTTGAGAAAAAACAAGGTGCGAGCCCCGGGGGTGGCACTTCAATCGAAAAAAACAATGTGCACCGGTGGGGGGGGATCAACAATAATTATTCTTCAAGAATGAGAGTTCAACAACAACAACAACCACCACCACCACAACAACAACAACCACAACAACAACAACAACACCACCACCACAACAACAACAACAACAACACTAACAGCAACAACAACAACACCAACACCAACACCAACAACAACAACAACACCTACACCAACACCAACACACCACCACCACCACCACCAACAACAACAACAACAGCAGCAGCAACAGCAACAGCAACAGTAACAACAACAACAACAATCATTTAAGACTGGGGACACTCCGTTCTCACCAGTGCCAGGGTTTTCATAGGAGGCGGGCAATACCCCCACTTTGTGGGGGGGCCGGTTCAAGCTCTACCAAATTTCCAAACGACTCTTCGCCACCACCCACACCCAGCTTCCCGCCCTATGACGTTCGGACACTTCACTTCGTGGCATGCGGACGACCGTGGCTACTATTCAGGGCCCCGCGGCCGACGACGACGGCGTGCGCGCGCGAAGAAAAAACGAATGTGTCCCGCATGGTATTATTTGACAGGGATGATGGCCCTGGCAGGTGCGCAACCGTTGTCGCAGAAGTTCGAAAAAGTTGCTCGCAAAAGCCCGTTTGACAGAAATGTTTAAAAAGTGTTGGGTTTCCTACGAATCCGCAAGAGCGCGCGGGATGAGATTTTGACAATTTTTTGTTGAAAAACCATTGGTTTTTTGATGTTTTTATGTTAAAATCGCTGCGAACACTAAGGTTTTGGAAGGATTTCGTCTTGCGCGCGCGAATGTCCACTTTACCTTATTTTTTGCAAGGGATTCTTGAAATTTGATTATATTAGAACAAGAAATTTCATTTTATAGTGTTTTTTGCAAGGGAAAGCGGATTACAACAAAACAACCGGATCTGGATGACATCGTTTTACCTGAGGCTTCCTCACGAAAATGATGAAAATGTAGCTGCGGCCTAGGCGCGGCGAGGGGGTCGCGCACCAGGGGTCCCAACAATAATTATTCTTTAGAATAAATAATGTTCAACAACAACAACAACAACAACAACAACAACAACAACAACAACAACAACAACAACAACAACAACAACAGCAACAGCAACAGCAACAGCAACAGCAACAACAATAGCAGCAACAACATCACAACAACAAACATAGTCCAGCCTACGGAACGCCACCTCAGCCACGCACCCAGGGACGGAGTAAGAGCGTTCAGCCCCCTCACTCTGTCACTCTGATAAAGGAAGGGGCGAGGGTGGGGCGGAGGGAGATGAGCAGAGAGATAAAGAGGAGGAATGACGGGGCATACTGGAGCAGGATGAGGCAGGATACGGAGGAGCTCCTCTTCCTCCTTCCACCCCCCTCTGCATCGTCAGTCCGCCTCCTCCTCCTCCTCATCATCATCATCCTCATCATCCTCTCGACGTCGACGACGAACACGACGACGAAGACAACGACGAGCGTAGGCCTCTTTATTCGCCACGTCGGCGGCCGAGTCACGGACTGCAAGGTCTGGACCGTCCCCGCCGTCCCTCTGGGCGCTGGCGGCTAGGAGCCGCGGCGATTTGTGCGCCTCAGTCTCCTCGTCCTCCTCCTCGACCTCGGTTTCCCCCTCCTCCTCCTCCTCCTTCATCCATTGTCCTTGTAAAAAACTCCTCCCTGTCGCCCCCACAAACGTGTCGGGGCGGGCCGGGCGTTTCGCCTGAGTCCGCCTCATCGCATAGGATCCTGAACATGAAATCTGCACCAGCTTAACGGATTGAGGGAGGGCCGTTATCAAAAACTGGCTCTCGCCTAAACGCCGCGCGCATTCATCTTGAAAAACTGCACCTGCTTCGAGGATGTACGGCTGCCCCTTTTCAAAATGTGGCTCTCGCCTCAGCGACGCGCACATTCGTTTCACAATTCGCAGCTGTTTCAAGGATTCGTATGTTGAAATCCCCGGAACGGTGTCTTGGCACGATTTAGGATTGTCAGGACGCAACAGTCACGTTGATTCGTGGAGTTGGAGTCCCAAGAAAAGTGGTCTGGCACGATTCAGGTTTGCCAGGGAGCAACGTTCACATTGATTCTTGTTGAAATCCCCCAGAACGGCGTTTTGGCACGAGTAAGGATTCTCAAACGGTTGCCTTCCATCGGGGCCTTTCCCGCCATGAACATGAATTCTTGGAGGGACCTGTGAAGAGGAAACTTGGGCGGGGCTGTGGCAATGACGTTGGTGCGTCTTGGGTTTACATTGGTCCTTCTCCTTTTTGACGTTGCCAAGATATGAAGACTGTGAAAATCAGATAGGCGAGGACGTGATATTTAGGGTGGTAATGAGTTGTAATTCCCTTCCGCCCATGGCCGTTGTGCCTCATAAGCTGGGCGGGAGGGTGGACGCACCTACTCACGTTTTGCTTTGCGTACGGAGATGAATATTTTTTTTGTTTATCTTATCTTGTGCTTGCATCAAGTGCTTGGTGGGAGGGATATTGTGATATGTATTTGCACTGGTAGCCTGGAGCTGTATCAGTTCTGCGGTTGCGAGATTCATATCAGAGTGGCCGTGCAGAAGTACATGCTGGCGCTCATCATTTTCGCGGTGCTTTACCACTGCGCTTTCCATAGTTCGGCAATCAACATCAACAGCCTCATCACTTGCACCCTGGCCGGCAATCGTTGCAGCAACGAGCTCGAGCCGGACCGCGACACCTACGACAGCGAAGACGTCCTGTACGACAACATCCCCATCACAGACGTGATGGCGACCCCGCAGCAGCAGCCCAACGACGGACCCCTCTTCGTGGACAAGGAGGGTGCCGTACACTACAACGGCGACCCAGCCTACGGCGAGGAGTTCGAGGAGCGTGCGATCCTCGGCCACCATGCGAGCGAAGAGAAGCTGCAGAAGCTCTACGCCATCAAGCTCAAGAATTCCCTGAATGCGCGAGCGTGGAACCTCACGAGGAAGAGGGCCGATATTGCAACGCAAGCAGTGTTGGACAAAGCAGGTGATGACCCACTTGCTGCAGTGAAGATGGTGGTGGCAACAGTACGGCAGGCGTGCGAGCGGATCGCCCCACTACAGAGGCAGCAAGCGTTCGAGGAAGATTTCTTGTAATGTTTTCGCAACAGATCGGGGTCTGTGCAGGACTAACACCTCGAGGCGGGAGACGGAGTATGAGCGGCTCAAGTCTCTCTCAGCAAACACGACAGTGAGTGAAGACCTACGGACGTACTACCTTCTAAAGTTGGCCAATATCAGCATGACCGAACACAAACCTATTCTCGGGCAATGCAACAACGAGTACATATGGGATGATGTGACGGCGGCGATGCTCATCCAGCTGGACACGACGTGCAGAGACGAACGTGGTCACGGACGTTATGGAGCATACCCGGTGGACTACGACGATGACGAGGAGGAAGCCCGACTTGGATACGAGTGTGGCGTGTGCGATGAGGACGGGCTTCTGAGCGATGAAGACTATGACGCGCTGGCAGCCGACATCGACGAGTTCGAAGGGGTGATTGACGACGCCGACCCCGAGGAGGTCAGCCAGGAGGAGTGTGACACTCTAGCGGCTGAGGCACAGCGTCTCGGGTAGAAGGCTGGACGAAAAGGTCACAGGCCCAATTGCAAGCAAGCCCGGGAGAGGCTTGCACAGAGCAAGTCCAATCGAGGCTGGAAGGTCAACATCAACAAGCAGGGATTCATCAAGATGGACGGCAAGGAAGCCGAAGAGAAGCTAAAAGAGATAGAGGCTCGCACGAAATACAACGCATGCCATAAGAAGGGTCACTGGAAAGGCGACCCGGAGTGCGAGAAGACAAGGCCATCAGGCGGCGGATCATCGAGCAGCCTACAGCGTTGAGGACGAGGTGGTGGCCGAAGCTTTCACGGGCGACCTGGAGGTTTTCTACGACGGGCTGGGTTTGCGATGGCAGCGGCGGTGAAGCTACTGATGGCGGACAGCTCAATGGACATGACTGCCATCCAGATCGTGAATGACCAACTGGCGAACATGGAGACCACGATGGAGGAGATCATGAGTCTGACGAAGGTGAGGATCAACACCGACGAGCAGATCGTGAACACCTGGGCAGTATCAGCACTTGGAGACGACCAAGGTACACGAGAACCTGAGGGTAGTGATGCCCAAACGACAGGATCTGGAGAAGGACAGACATGGCCCAGCAGATCGAGCACCTACTACCATGAAGAGGATGCCACAGCGGCGGACCTACAGAAGATCAAAGATCGAGCAGCACAGATTGCAGCATTATGGGTCAGCTGTGAGAACATGGAAGCAGCCTACAGGGATTACATGGATTGGTGTGTGGACTGGGCACTACACTGGATCCATCAGCTCATGCACATCACGATGGAGATGGCACCACAGTGACTCAGGAACTTGGCGTACGACCTACGCCAAGCATCCTGGGCCAGTACCTCGGAACTACGAGACATCGTAAGGAGCACCTGCGAGCGTCTACCTCATGGAATGCGACCGACATGGTTGTGAACGGAACGCAGGACGGGCACAGACTACAGGCCAACAGAGGATCGTGCACCACCATCTGGCCTGGAGGTGAACTACGAGGAGCTGGAGGAGACCGAGGCCTACGCGGTAAGGAACGGACCTATTCCAGATGGACATGCTGTGCTGGGCACGGCGTGCCTACGAGGATGTGGAGGTTCACTAGCGTTGGACGGCTACGCGGAGGACAGCAGGGTCACTACGAGGATGAGGGGCCCATCCATGCGCTTCCGAGGCGTGAATGATAGCGCCCTGGTCATGGCAGAAGGCGAGCAGGAGGTGACAGCTGGACTTGCAGGAGCCGACGTGAATCTACGATTCCAGAGGCTGCCGAAATCGAAGACGCCGATACTGCTAAGCATCCACCAGCTGGAGGAGCTAGACACAGTGCTGTACGTGAAGGAGCGGAAGGCGGACTTCAAGGCGATCAACAAATGCGGGGCGCCGCTCAACAAGACCGGGAAGGGGCACCTGACGATCTCACTCAAGGACTGGCCGAAGAAAGACACGACCAAAACAATACCATCCGTTACGACGGATACGATCGGCATCTGGACCGCGGATGTGCATGAACTAGACAAGGGCATCCTCCGACGAAAGCAGAGGAAGCAGATCGACATGTGGGAGACAGGGTTGCAGGACAAGCTGGTTTAGTGCCAACAGGTCGTGGAGACGCTAAAGGCGGACCCAGAGGAGAAACGGCCTATCATATGCGAGCCCTATGCTGGTGGCATGGCAGCCACATCGGAAGCTCAGCAGCGGCGACACCCTACCACGAGACCAAGGGACATCCTGATAGAGGACGACCTACTGGACATCAAGTCACAGCGGAAAGTGCTGAAGCAGCTGGACGAGGACGAACCCTACATGACTATCGTGGGTTTTCCAAGCGACCCGTTCACGAACATATCGCACATGTTTCCGCAGAAGACGAGGATGATGAAGCTAGCAACTGGCATGAAGCACCTGCGGTTCGTCAAGCAGACCTGGCTCAGCTGCAAGCGTCGAGGAGCACGCGTGCTACTGGAGAACCCGCCGACATCAAAGGCCTGGAAGCTCATGCCGAGGCCTGGCTCAGAGTTTGTGGCCGCGATGACGCACCAATGTGCCGAATGCAACAACCTGGTGGACTTCCTGGGCGATCCCGTCAAGACGCCGACGCGGTTCCTGACTACGGCCACCATGCTAGGCGCCAAGCAAAATAGCATCAGGTGTGACAATACGCACGAACACACGAGCGTGATAAACAGGTCGAAGGGAACAGCATCAAGTCTTGGCAACTGGACGACCAACCTGGCTAAGACGATCATGGACGGCATCGAGAATCAGAGGGGCCTCGAGAAGCAGCATGGTGGGTACGACAGGTACGCCAACCACTTCGAGGACATCGAGCTTAACGAGATCGAGGCCAATCCTGCAGAGGCGGAGGCACCCATGCACGCGAGTGCCGCGACGATCTTCAGCAAGCACGGCGACACCATCGAGATGGCGGACTGGACGGCGGTACCACCACTTATGCGAGCAGCTATCAAGAAGATGTACGAGAGCCAATCACATGGACCCTACAAGGAGTCAGTGGTACGATACTTACAGTACGGTGGAGCTAGTCGACGAGCGACGCAGGCAGCGCGACTCTTCAGATGCATAACGTGTGAGGAGCAGGCTCAGACCCAAGACCCACAGCAGCACAGCCCAAGGTTAGAGATGTTAACGAGGCCAGTGGCATGGATTTCATGATCATACCCGACATGGACAATAATATGTACGTGGTGCTTGTAAACGTGGATAATGCATCGGACTTTACAGCGGCTATCTACACGTGTCCTGGATCAAGACCGACGGCAGAGTTGGCTAAGAAAGCTTTCGAGCTTGGATGGCTGACCTGGGCTGGTCCACCTACTGTGGTTGAGCAGGACCAGGACTCTACATTCACGGGCGAGTTCGGGACACTGCGCAACGACCTTGGCCTGGTGATCAACAACGCTGCGCCAGAAGCTCACTGGCAAATGGGCAAGGTCGAGAGGA